TTTGTATCTTTGGGGTAAATACCCAGTAGTGCAATTGCTGGTTCATATGGTAGCTCTATTTTCAACTTTTTGAGGAACCTCCATACTGTTTTCCAGGCAGTTCTCTTGATCTCTCTGAGTCCTGGCTTTTTCATCTTCAAAAATAGGGCAGGTGATACCTACTCTCAGAGTGGCTGTGAGGATTGAATCAGGTGGCTTCGATAAGGTGTTCAGCTCAGCACCTAGCACCTGGGAAACACTCAGCCCATGGCAACGCCTACTAACCCATCCCACTGCGCCCACAGTGCAGCATGGTGGCCAGCTCCCAGAGACGCGCTTCGCAAGGGCAGTGGCAAACAGGACACTACCCGAGGAGAGCATGTGTCTGCTTTTGCCCTAGGTCCCTTTCCGCTCTAAGCATCTGTCATTATGCAGTCATTTAGTTAAACTGTAAATAGCAACCACAGACAAGTAAACTCTGTGTTTCGGTTGTGGTTAAAGCTGCTCAGTTTCTAGAATGACATAGAAACACACCCAGGTAGCAAGCATCAGCTGACACCTTCTGTGTACAGGAGGCTTAAGTCCTGTGCCCGAAGAGGAATCCAGAAAAGATGTCGATCCCCTCCCCCCTCCGAAGAAAATGGCAAGATTGCCCTGCAGAGGGATCCTGACCACAGTCGTCTTACATGTGTGATGCTGCCCAGCTCAGGTGTGAACGCAGTGGTCCGCTTGGAGCAGAAGCGGGGTCTAATGTGACGCTGCCACACACATGGCCCTAGCAGGGGAGCATAAGTAACAAGCAGCTGGCTTCCTCCTCCACCTCACCCCTCCACGTCATCCCCAAGAGTTCAGCCATCCAGCCATAGCAAACACCTACCTTGCACTTGTCTGGGGCTTTGCTTATGCTCTTTGCTCTGCCTGGAAGGCCCGTTCTCCTCGCTAACCGCTGTGTTTCTTGTGTCTCAGAGAAGATGTCATCTGTCCCTAGCCTCCATCCTTTGCTCACGTGCAGGTCAGCCTCACGTCTTTTCTCCCACTTCACCACACAAGTGAAACGACCTGTCACATCTCCCTCTCCCTCACCCCCTATAAGGAGGCTGCTTTGCTGGTTTTGCCAGGGGCCAGGAGCCTGACAGCAAAGGATCATGTCCTGAAGTGGTCCTTAAAACCAGGACTTTATGAACGTGATCAAAAGAATTGCTGAGATGAGCCCATGTTCTATCATGAAGATGACAATTTATAAGGGTGAGAATGGAGTGAGTGTGTGCACTGACTCAGATGAGTGAAAAGCATCATTTTCTTCACCCAGGAGCAGCCATGCTCACACCCTGCCCGCGACACGCCAAGCCTCTCCCATGCATTTCGTCATTTCATGCTAGTATTAGCCGGTTTCCAGCTGCATCTGACACAATGTATCACAGCTACCCCTGGGACTTGCCCATTTCCTACACTACCCTGGACGAGCCTCCACTGCAGGTTCTATCTCTTACTCAGTTCTGCATCCTCATCTCCCTGCCGGGTACCTGGCTTAATAACCACCAATGGTTGACTAGGGCAGGACTGGTGGCGTGGGGCTTCTTCTCCCCATCGGGCACCCCAAGAAAAAACCCAGGCTCACCCCTCCCTCACTTGATCCCAGGAACTTCCACCCATGGCACACAGACCCCGAGTCCAACCAAGGCACCGGCCCCGAAATATCCACAGACAGGTAAGACCATGCAGCTGGGAAGAGAAACCTGATACCACATTGATTTGGGGTTGGGGCTCGGTGGGGGACAGGGGTACCAGTAGGCTGACTAAGCTGGGCATTGTACTTCATTGGTTCAAGCAGGAAAAGAGGTAGGAGAACTAGTTTACAAGGCTTGCTGGGTTGTTAAATTTGCATAAAGCTCTCCCTCTTTCTTGGCTACAATTCCCTATAGATTTTTAGAACGCTTTATCCTTAAGATGCTCTTATTCCTTAGTCATGTGTATCACCCAAGACCGGTTCGTGCTGATTGTTGCATGGCCATTCTTGCCCCTTGCAGGTGACCTTCCTGCGGCATGGCCATTTACCCCTGCAGAAGAGCCAGCCCTGGTCCCAGGACCCCACCGAGTCTCAAGTACGTACCGGCAGCCTGCTAATCTGTTGCTCCTGTTTGTTTGGAAGGAGGTTGTGTCATTCAATAAAAAGAGTTTTGTTTGATAAATATAGATTCAGACTGCTGGGATTAAATCCTACCTCTACCATTTACCGGGGAGGGGGTCTCCGGCACTTGGCTTTGGGAATTCAGCTCCCTCGACCGGGAAGCAAGAATAATAACAATTATTGTGGGCACTAAAACTGTCTTTATTCCCCACGGCCTTGTACTGAGTAAGATAACGTGTGTGGAAGTGATTTGGAACTACAGAGCTCCACATAACAATTCAATCAACTTTTATCGAGTGAACACCTATTGAGCAAGGCACTGCGCGCTTCGCAAACAGAGGCTGTTTCTTTTCATGAGCCTGATGTGAGCAAAGGCAGCAGAAGGAGGAACGGATGACTCCAAAATTCAACCCCCATTCGCTGGGTGCAGTTTACTTTTGTTGCATTTTATTATTTTTAAAGACTGTATTTATTTATTTGAAAGAGAAAGAGAGCACACATGCGCATGCGCAGGGGAGAGGGGTGGAGGGAGAGGGAGAAGCAGACTCCCCGCCGAGCAAGGAGCCCATTGCAGGGCTTGATCCCAGGACCCCGGGATCACGACCTGAGCCGGAGGCAGACGCTTAACCGACTGAGCCACCCAGGCGCCCCTACTTCTGTTGCATTTTAAAGGACGCCCTGCCTTCCCCATCCCTGACACTTAATTTCTATGGAATTCTAGAGGAAACCATGTCCTGGGTTTATGGCTGGGTTTTCGAGACTCCTCACAGAGGCTCAGCGCTTCAGTTTCTGGAGTTCATGCTACGTTTTTCTTCTTTTCTGTTCCAGAAGACAGAAATTGATGCAAAATGAGTCCTTCAAAGCTGGTTGAATCCTCAGGCCCCTCCCACTCCTGGATGCCTTTCTATGCTCATTTCCTGAATGTTCCTGGACTATCCAGGCGTATGTCAGCAGGGCATTATTAAATTCCTGGAGACTACACGGTCCCTTTTTTCATACACTGAAGATCTGCCTCAGCCCCACTCCCAACCTGCAGTGAATGGGCCTTTCAGACACAAAGCCATGATTATACTGCTGAAAGAAATTACAGCCATTTTTCCCCCAGAGGCTCTAAAGAAACACACTGCTGGTACAGGTACACATGGGGGCAGTTGTCAGACTGAGTTTTAGAAAACAAGTTGACTGTATAACCTTCTGTATCTATATCTACTTATATAGCCCTATCTATTATCTATTTCTCTCTCTCTCTCTTCTGTCCATCCATCCATCCATCCGATGAGAAGTATAAGTGTAAAATAAAGGGGTTTTGAGGACTTCTGGCAAATGATTCTTCCCATTCACAAAAAAAAAAAAAAATCATGCCACAAAGTCCTTTGAGACTGATTCACTCACCCACTCAGTGAATATTTATTGAGCTCCTACTATTTCCCAGGCACTGTGCTAAGCCTATTTTTACTCTTTCTTTGCAATAATTCTGCAAGGTAATGTGATGTTATCTTCATTAAGCCATTTCAGTGAGCACTACATTTAAAAAGTAACTAAATTTTGAACCTACGTTTGTCTAATTCCAAAGCCTGTGCTCATTCTACCCTTCATGTTATCTCTCCCAAGATTCTCCATTTGTACAAAATAATTGCAATTTGAGGAAGAAATTGGTAAGGTTCTTAAGAGAAAAAGAGGTGAGGGCGCCTGGGTGGCTCAGTCGTTAGGCGTCTGCCTTCGGCTCAGGTCATGGTCCCAGGGTCCTGGGATCGAGTCCCGCATTGGGCTCCCTGCTCAGCGGGAAGCCTGCTTCTCCCTCTCCCACTCCCCCTGCTTGTGTTCCCTCTCTCGCTGTCTCTCTCTGTCAAATAAATAAATAAAATCTTTTAAAAGAGAGAGAGAGAGAAAAAGAGGTGAATGCTATGTGCAGCCAGAGAGGAAGAGATTAGCTCCATCTGGAGGGATTGTTCAAGAGGTTTTCATCAATTAAGAAAGTGGCATCTGAACAGGGTTGTCTCTAAATATGCATCTCAGGCAGAGGCACAGCTTATGCAAAGGCACTGAGGCAGGAAAGGATGGATGTTTCCCAGGGCCTGAGAAACTCCTTGTGGCAGGAATTCTGGTGCTACAGGAAAGACTGATGAGGAACAAGGGGGCATAGGCTGGCAAGGTGGGGTGGGGGGTGGATCCCCAGGGCCATGGAAGGAGTGTGGACCTTTTCTAAGACAAGTGGGAGTGACATGGCCAGATTTGTGGTGCAGAAAACTTTCTCTGGCTGCAGAGTGGAGACCAAAGAGGGGAAGATAGGAGTAGGAATACTGGCAAGGAGACTGTTGTACTGACCAGAGCCAGAGATGATGGGGGCTAGAACTAGGAGTTAGCTGTGTGAGACTTGACTCAATAGGGACACTTGAGTGGTGTTCAGGAATCAAGAAATGTGATGGTGGTGGAGTGATCACCAGGAGGTAACCAAACATCATGCCCAAGTTTGAACAACTGAGAAACAAAGTGCCATTTCCTGAGATGGAGAAGCATGGGAGAGGTTGGGAAGGGGAAGGGGGCATGGAAATCAAGCCTCAGGAATGTTAAGGATGTTCCGGTATAAAACATGCTAGTATGAGCTGCAGACTCAGGTCTTGCCAGAGTCACTGCCTACCGTATAACTGATCAAACTACAGAATCACTCAGACCCCCAGTATCCTCTTCTATAAAATAGATATCTACATTACATGATTTTATGAGAATTAAATGAAGTCATGTACGTAAAAAACTTAGAAAAGTACCTGATAAGTAGCAGGTGTGTAATAAATGTTAAAGTAAAAAGTCATAGCATAGTTACAAAAATTGACAAATATTCTGGAGGGTTTACTATTCAAAATACATTTCCTTCCTACATTTTTTTACTAAACCTTTCTCTAACATTATGAGCCCTCTCTTCACTTTAATAAATTTATAACTGATAGATGAATGGACAAAGAAGATGTAGTATATATATACAATGAAATATTACTCAGTCATCGAAAAGAATGAGGTCTTGCCATTTGCAACGATGTGGACAGAGCTAGAGAGTATAATGCTGAGCAAAATAAATCAGTCCGAAAAAGACAAATACCATATGATTTCACTCATATGTGGAATTTAAGAAACAAAACAAACAAAGGGGGAAAAAAAGAGACAAACCAAAAAACATACTCCTAACTATAGAGAATAAGCTGTTGGTTGCCAGAAGGGAGGTGGGTGGGGGCACGGATGAAACAGGTGATGGAGATGAAGAGTGTATTTGTGTTGATGAGCACTGGGTGATGTACAGAAGTGCTGAATCCCTACATGGTACACCTGAAACTAATGTCACACTGTACGTTAACTACACTGGAATTAAAAATTTTAAAAATAATAATAACAAATATAAAAATAAATAAGTAAATCTAAAACTGCTAAATTATAATTTTCAAAAAGGTAAGAACATGACTCATAAAAATATGGAATGAACACATGCCAGAGATTCTATTCAACCATTAATTAATGAATTAGTTAAGATCGGCTCAATGGAGAGTTTGAGGAACAGGGATTTTTATAGTTAGTCCTAGGAATTTGGAAATGAATTTACTAACTGATATCCTACAGCAAAAAATTCTTTTTTTTTTCACTAGACAAAAACCAATTGCACCTTTACCAGACAAAATTCATTTACATTGCTTACGGACAAGAATTACTTGCATTGCTCTCAGACAAGAGTCATTTACACTGCTATCAGTTAACCTCTTCAGAATTGCAAAATCACCTACTCAATCAATCAATCAAAGATACACACCGTTATATAACCAGAAAATCCCCCACAGTGTCGGCTAGACAATACCCAGAACTTATTTCCAGGTTTTAGATCATTTTTATTGGTAGTAACTAGTGATTCTTTGTTGGAAGATCATTATCAACATCCTAATATAATCTTCAAATCACTAGAAGTTGCGCTCTGTAAGAGGAAGCCTCTTTTCCTTTTTTTTAAAGATTTATTTATTTGAGAGAGAGAGAGAGCAGGAGGAGCGGTAGAGGGAGAAATCCCAAGCAGACTCCCCACTGAACGGGGGTGGGGGCTCAATCTGAGGACCCCGAGATCATGACCTAAGCTGAAATCAAGAGTCCGCCGCTTAACTGACTGAGATGCCCAGGCGCTCTGCCTCTTTTCCTCGTGTCTATGAGTTGTTGTATCTCTTGTGTCCGTGAGTGCCCAGCATGTAGTGAATGCTCAATACATTTTGTTGAGGTGGGGCAGAGGGAGGCAGAGGGAGAGGGAAAGAGAGAATCCCAAGGAGGCTCCACACTGAGCAGGGCTTGATCCCAGACCCTGAGATCATGACCTGAATGGAAATCAAGTCAGACGTTCAACCAATGGAGCCACCCAGGTGTCCTGTTCAATACATTTTTAAATAAATCAGTAATAATAGCTATTATTTATTATTTGTTCCATAGCAGGAACTTTGCTTTGTATACATTGTCTCCTTTAATCCTCCCAGTGATCGTCAGGCAACACACACCCATCCACTTATACAGTCTGCACGCATGTACATACATATGTCTGCATACCCATGCAAAACGCACATATCCATGCATGCACACACTCACACATATGCATGCACACATATGTCCACACGCACACGCATGCACACACACACACACCCTCCATACCATCCAATTATTCTCCATTTCCCTATCAGCAAACCATCCCCTTGCATGATGATGAGTCCCCACATACTCTACCTCTTCCCCTGGAAATACCTCCACCTGATCCACTTCTGTTTAATGTTTTAGATCCTTTTTTAATATTTGCTCTTGGTGAAACCATCTCTGATTTCCTCTGGGAACTGGACCCCACCTTTCTCCACCTGTCTCTCAGACTCTCACAGCAGCTTTCTTGGGCACTGATGAAACAACGCTGTCTACCTGTCAGTCTCAGAGCCACCTGAGATCAGGGGCAAGACTCTATTCACTAAGCACAGTACCTAATAGAGGGAAGATGCTTGCTAAATCCTTGCTGATGTCAGTGGTCTGGGATTGCATCTTCCAGGGTGTCCTCAGCTGATCCTCGAAGAGGGGGCCATCACCACCGCTCCCCTCACCCTGGCCATCCAGAAGATCAACCCTTGCCTGATGGAGCTGTGCCGCTTTTTCCAGCAATGCCTCTGCATGAGCCGGAAGAGAGAGGCCAGGACGGAGGCCATGAGGTAACCGGAACCAGGTGTCCCTTCCCACAGTCTGTATTTCGGGGCTGCCTCAAGGAATAGACTCTCCGGTGGGTCTTCTACTAGACCATCACCTCCTTGAGAGCCAGGATAGAACCTCATTCATCTCTGGGTCCCCAGAACCCAGTGCAGGGCCTGACATAGCAAGTGCGGCTGAGTCTAGTGGAGGTGAGCTGAGTTGGTGTGAACTGAGCCGAGCTGAGTCATACCTGTGGAGTGATCACACAGGACTTCTGGTGGTCCTGGAGCCCTCTTAGCCTCCGCCTGGTGAGATTTGCCAGAAGAGAATAATCAGAGGACATGTCCATCTAAATTCCAGCTTTTTCTAAATCCCTAGCAGTCATCTGCTGGCCAAATGAGAAGATTGTAAAACGAAATTTAGAAGGCAGACCCCACTTCATATTAGAAGTTCTAGGCTTGGACGTTTTCCTGCCCTCGAGCATAGACATTCTACCCTTTCTTCTGGGGTTTAGTCTTGGCTATAAACCCAGAACCAAACAAACATAGATGACCACTTCTGCTCCAGTGGGCGGGGGCCACTCTCCCAGATCTTTAATGTTCCTTTCCAAGTCCTCTCATGACCCTTCAGCTTCTCAAACCTCCAACATCCACTCTCTCTGAGCCCCCAGTCCAGGTTTGCAGCCTCTTTCCATTACATCCTTATCTTGTATCCCTCAATCAATGTGAATGTTTCCTCTACCCAGAGAGGGAAATGAGCAAGATCCATAGACCCGAGGTGTGAGCAAGAGATGTGGATGCATTTCCCCATCACCAAAGCTCATCCTAAAGAAGAGAAAACTTTTGCAACTATGTTTTCTTACAGGATCAGCCCACTATCAGGCCTTCCCCCAGCAGCTCTTCAAATCAACAATGAGTTGAGTCTCTCCTAGCCACTTGTTATGCACTTTGCTGAACCACGGGAATTAAGAGGTGAATCAGGCATAGACCCAGAAACTGAGGATTTCAAAGTTGGGTGGAAGAAATGGTCATAAACCCAAATTAAAATATGACTTGTAAGGGACAGAACCAAGTCATACCCAGAGGCAGGACCTATTCCTAGCATCCCTTTGGAGAAAAATCACATTTAAAAAGTCTATATTGCAAATACCGCAGAGAAGAGTTTTAAGTTAAAATTTAGAGAAATGAAGCATCTAGGAACCTGAGCTTATCCCTTCTTTTTCCCTGTATGTTCACTTAATAGTGCACTGTTCTATGATCTCATACTAAACATTGAGTACAGGCTAAGAATAACAGAGTGGGAGACTGGCTTTACTCAGTGTGTGTGTTGAATAACACAGCCCCTGTGATCAAAAAATCATTCTTGAGTGGGGAAGCTGGCCACGTAAAGAGAAATTACAAAACAGTATGACGAGCATTTTAGCAGATCCCAATATGCACCGTGGGGCCCCAGGGCAACTAATAGGGCTTGATGGAGGAATAGAAGCTTCCTGGGCAGGAAATGGGAGAGGCCACTCCAGGCAAAACGAATAGCAAGTGCAAACATGGACAGCGAGAGGCAGCCCGGAACATCATAGATCCACTGAGATAGGCAATGTGGCTGCAGAAAAGGCAGAGGTCCCTTTTCAGGAAGGCCTTGCTCCTTCAAGCATCTGGCGAGCGCTTGCAAACAGGTCTGGACTTTTCCCCTAGAGCTCCAGCAGCTCCTCCCAGCTGTGCGTTTCCTCCTTCATTCAGAACAGATTGAACCCATTCCCCAGGGTCGTTTGATATCCTGTCTGTTTTGGAAACTTTCTAAGCAGTTGGTTTGTGGTTGTTAGAAGAACATCTTGCCAAGCTTGCACACTTCAGGCTAGCTGAGGGGAGATTAGGGATTAGGTCGCAGAACTGGGCTCTCAAAGCTAGTAGGTAGCCTAGTGTACTGTATGGGGGATAGGGTGAAACCAAGCCGACTGGGTTTAAATTTAGGCTCTGGACTTACAAGCTCTGTAGGCTAGTCATGTAACGTCTCTGAGCCTCAGTTTGTTCTTCTGCAAAATGGGTATAGCCCTATTAGAATGGTAGTGCATTCTGGCGTGAAGTGGATTACCTGGGGAAATAGCTACACTCTCTCCTGAGAGCAGTGAGTCCTCAGGCAAATCAGTCCATCTCTGAGCCCTGGTTTCCTTAAAGTCACAGCATCCTGGAAATGGAGGGTGACGGAGCCTGGGGAATCTTTACAGCCAGCTTTACTCGAGCAGTTAGTTGCTCCCCGGGGTATGCTAGAATCACAGAGTGGTGGAGATGGGAGAGAAATGGGAAGATGTTTAGCCGGACCTCCTCATGTATCCGGCGAGGGAGGGACAGGGCGGTGAATCCCTGGAGTCCACAGGGAGCCCGTGGTACAGCCTGCACAGAAAGCTCTTCTTCCTAATAATGTGCTCGGTGCTCTCTCACTAAAGCCCTTCGAAGCCATCCCCGCAGCCCCAGCCAAGAGCAGGATATTATTTTGCAAGCATTTTCTGTCTTGTTAACTGTAAGAGCCCCGCGTTCTTAGCCTACCTCACGTGAAAAACAAATAATCGGACATCATCATTTGCCGAGCACCTGTTACAAGCCTGGCCCTGTTCGGGAACTTGGCGCATGTTAGCTCACTTAGTCCTGGTGATAACCTGTGAGGGTAGATTCTAGCATTGCCTTTCGACTGCCTATGAAAAATCTAAGGCCCAGAGAAGTGAGCGCTCAGCCTGAAGTCACACATCCTAGTGAGGAATGAGGCCAGGACTAAAAATATATCTTTCTCACTCCAAAGTCTAAGCCTCTCCCCGCTCAGCCTCATCCTCTGCCTCTCCTCCCACACCCTGTAAAGTTGGAGAGGGGGTCCTTGCTGTGAGTAGTTGGCCGTGATGACTTTTTCAATGATGGTTGTCTTCCATTAGCCACAAGGCATGATGATTGCTTTCCACTCTAATTGGAATCTTTAGGTACTGTCTTGAATACTATTCCTGGTTTCTGAAGAATGCAACATACCTCTGTCAGAGGGTGAAAAGGGTGCCCCACTCCCACAGTAAGTATACACTTGACCATGTTGTAACTTGACAATAAATGCCTTCTATGAAAGGTTTCTAGAACTCACTGATTGTCCTGCCGTCGTTGGGGGCCAGTAAGAGTAGGTGCTGCTCATGTAGTCCTCGTTAATTCTAGACAAAAAGAGTGGAGGGTATTTCTGATCACTCTTCACCTAACAGTTCAATGTTTGCAGTTGGGTATAGGAAAAAAGAAAAGCAGGAGTCAGCCCGACCAAGCCCTTTTGATCTTGGGCAAGTTTCTTATCCACCCTGACTCCCACATAAGCTAAAAATACAAATGAACAAAGAAAAATCAAATAGAAACACTTAAATTCCTGACCAAAGCAAAATGAGTACAAATAATCCAACAAAAAGCTTGTTCTTGTTTTTGTTTTTTTTTTTAAGGCTTTATTTTTAAGTCATCTCTATACCCAACGTGAGGCTCAACTCACAACCCGAATCATATGCTCGACCGACTGAGCCAGCCAGGTGCCCCCGAATAATGCAAGATAAAGAAGGCATCATGAGGTGCTAGCAGTAGGGAATATGGTACCCTCTTCTGGTCCTGATGCATCAAAGCCTCATTTACTAGCAGAGAGGCCAGACGTGAACTTTGTTTTCTCTCCCACTCCTGCAGACTAAAGTGGCCGATCTGGCCTAGCTAGTCCCCAAGCTAATGCTCTGGCCGTCTACCTGGACTATCCAGTCAAAGGACTCTGACCTTCTAAAAATCATGGAGCTACATGGAACTTACATTACTTTCATTCTGCAGCACAAAGCCCAAGCATTTGGAGGTGGAGGCGTGGGGGGCTCAGCAGTCAAAGACAGAAATCCCTTTGCCTGGTATGGGCAGAGGGAGCAGGGAATTTTACAAGCTACTTATGCTTAAATAGCTCTTCTTTTGTCCTTGGCACATTAAAATCTCCACGCAGACAACATATTACATCTCCTGAACAACATATTAATGAGGTTAGATTAGCTTTCTGCAAACTGGGGCGATCAGGTAGATAGAATTGGGTATCGGGAAACCATCACTGGGCAGTGAGTACAGAGCTGAAGGCTGTTCTCCTCTTGACTGGGTTGCTAACCAGGGGGGTTCTTGCCCACATCCTTCCTCCTCTCTGACATGGACTCCTGAGTCCCCTGTCCACTGCCCTGCCCTACCCTTGCCCTCCGGAGGAGCCTGGGCCATCGCTGATGCTGCCTGAGTTTATTCCCTGTAGCATTTCCTTCTTTCTCACTACCTTGAATTCCTTCTTCTTTTTTCCTTCCAGCCTTAAAACAAAAATGCCTCCAGAATATCTGCCAGTCAGTGTGAGGCCTTGAGAAAGCGATGGGATCTAAGGATACATTAGACGACATCTCTTCACCCTGGCCCCTGGCCCCAGTGGTCTGTCCTTGCAGATTTCACCAGGCTCTAGCCAGATCATCAATCAACCGAAAGAGGTTCTTTTTGGAAGTCACATTTCTTTCTTTCCTGTGAATCCTGGGAAGGTGGAAGACCAAGTGTTAGAGGCTGCATCGAAACCTAAATCCGTGTTCAAGGAACCCCCATGATGCTTGCAGCAATCCTGAGACTGGAGAGATGGGCTGAGGGGTGTCATACTAGCAGGAACAAACTAGTGCAGGCTCCGAGACTCTGACAGAGTACCCAAAGTGACTTAAACTTGGTATTTTAGGAAGACAGCAAGATAAATAAGGAAAAGTGAAACCATACTGTGGAGAGGTTCACATATGATTTCTCTATACCATTAACTCACACTCAGTTATGTACAACTAATCAGACTTGTGGATTATAGGATCCAGATAATCTCCCAAGCCCCCTAAGTAGGAGGTGATGGGAACCTTCCCTCAGAAGAAACAGAGAGTTTGTGGGTTTTTTGTTGTTGATGTCTTGTCTTGATTCCTCCTCTGTGGGTCCCACTGTATTTGGGGGTCTCCAAGAGCATTCTCGGGTTCAGTGATTCGCTAATCGGACTCATGGAGCTCTGAACAGCTGTTATACTCACATTTACTGCTTATTACAGCAAAAGGACAGAGATTAAGGTCAGCAAGGATAAAAGGGGCAGAGGGCAGGGCACCACCTCTATCTGTCCTCTACAGTGAAGCTGCAGGGGCGGCACTGAATTCTTCCAGCAATGTCACGTGACAACACATATGGAGTATCGTCAACCAGGAAGGCTCGTCTGAGCCATGGAGGCCAGGGTTTTGACTGGGGACCAGCATGTAGGCGTGAAGTGCCCACATAGCTGATCTCAGTTACTCAGTCTCCAGGCTCTCCAGAGGTCAAGGCGACATGGCGTCCCAAGGCCCCCGCTATAAACCACACTGTTAGCTTAGACTCTAAGTCTGGCGTGGCCCAAAGCCCCAGGTGGACAGACACTTGTCAGGCAGGAGATTCCAAGGGTTCAGAGATTAGCCCCCGGGTGCTGTTCAAGGGTTAGACTTTTCTTTGGCAGATGCAGGGTTCAAACGCCCTAGACCTGCTGAGTCAACCCTTTCCTGCGCACCCCCAGGCGAAGGTGTCCCCATTATCGGTTCAGGTCCCTTTTAACTTTGTCCAAGTCTGGGGCTGCCCCAACACCCCTGTGAATGCCAACTCTCCCTGCAGAGCGTTCCTGAGCCGGTCTGCTCTTTCCATGGCCCTCGGTGGACCCCCTAGTTCCTCACTGCTGTGCCTGGAGCTCTGGCTCCACTTTCTCGCGTTAGTAGGCTGCCTGGCCATCAGTCTCCCACCTTTGTGATCTATGCCCCTTGGTGAGAAAACTCACTTCCATTTACAGTCCAAGTCGAACCGATTTCGCCCCAATGGAAGACACTTGAGGGCTCTTGCTCTCACGCCCTGTGAACAACAAGGCTCTTGGAAAGATAGACCTTGAGCTTTGGAGAGAGAAGCAGCCAGACACTTCCCTCTCTGATCACACACAGATATATTTTTAATCTCCAGAACATTCCAGAGACCCTCAAAGTTATGCAAAGGTCAAGCTCATGAATACCTGTTTTCATGATTCTTGGGGGCCTGCAGCGGGCCCTCTAGTTTGCCAAGCTGAGGAGGACACAGTAAATCCACTAGGACAAAGGAACCCATATCTGGCTAGGAATCAAGAAAACAGCACCATTCATCAGGTGTGGGTTAATCTAATAGACCTTCTCTAATGGATAACATTGATATTAATGAAGGATCTTGGGTGGGAAAAGATCCCAGAGGTTCCCCAAAGAGTAATTTATCATCAGGGAAGGTGGGACAAATGACTTGGTCCCAATACCCTGGCTGTTCACTTGTGGGGAAAGCCTTGGGGATAACGGCTGAGCATGGCTAACTTTGAAAAGGTCACGTGTGGAGGACCTCTGAGGCCCATGCAGGGATCTGACCTTGCAGCAAAGACAAAGGCTCAGAGGACCACACAGGACCAATTTTCTAGGGCCACACCATCTGTCACACCAGCAGCAGCAGTAGGAGGAAAACAGGACCCAAGAGCAAACTGACCAGAGCCTGGAGTTCACGGTCTGCTGGAGGTCAAGGGGAGGTTTGACCCCTCCTGAGCTGAATTAAGTCCCGACTTGGGGAGTGCCTAGGGCAATGAGGAGGCCTCAGGGGGTATTGCCACTCCAGAGTTCTTGGTGATTTGTGCATATGTGGCCATCAGTGGTTCACTGACAAGGTAAAAAAAGATGGGGCAGTTACTGCATGCCTGCTGATGCAGGAGACTCTGCATTTACACCTGTAACATCACCAAACAGGACTCTCCCCAGAGGCAAAGACACAGGCGCATTCCTGTCTGTCTCGTTCATGCTCAAAATACAAGCAAAACTGGAAGGAGCGAGGGAATCAGGGAGGGAGGAGGGGGGAGGGAGGAAGGCAGGAATTCGGGCACCGAGCCATACAGCCTGTTGACCTAACAGTTTACAGATGAGGGGTCTTCCGTGCTGGTGGGTGAGGACCGGGGCGGCGTGGCCTCGCTCATCATCACCGCTCACGAGACACTGAGCAATAACTAATGATCTATAAACAAAAGCTTCAACGCACAGGGGCAATTAATTATTTGCAGAAGCCTGCTGGTGGATTCTGTAAAGGCTCAGCTCCCCCAGATTTAATCGTCGGATGAACCCCTGTGCTCCAGCAGGTGGGTGGTGGGTGAAGCACTTGGAGCGCTCGCAGCCGGCGAACCTTTCAGCCAGGGAGGAGCCCATCCCTGCGAGCGCGGACAAACGCCCCCACCTCGGCATCGGCTGTCCTGCTGAGGGTCGTGAGTATAGGATTAGCAGAGCAGCTAGGGGGTGCAGCTGCAGGGACGAGAGGACACAATCCCGTGAAAACACACATGGCACCTAATGGCGCTCAGTAGACGTTCGCTCTCCTTCTTAAGATCTGGAAAGGAAACCTGAAATTCTGGAGGATCTAGGATCACCAGCCCCTCCATGCACCGCACCCGGCTCACCTTGTTCGCACAGTCCCAGTGGGGTCATCCCCACGAAATGCACACGGGAGCCAAGCCCGAGCAGCGACAGGTCAGCGTCCCACTGCTGAGTGGGCAGGGCTGGCACCCGATCCTCACGTGTCTGATTATCAAGCCCCGTCTCACCTGACCCCACAGCTGGGGCAGGAAACCCCTAAAGGAAAGAGGCATCGAATTCCCAGGCCTGAGGCCAGGAACATATAAGAAGAATCACCCCAGAGATCCTCTTGCTGAAGAATTAACTAGACCAGACAAAGCCAGCCCTTCTCCTTGTGGGAGAGCCCATGTGCCTTTCATCGGTCTTTCATCCCCCAGAGTTCCCCTGATGACCCCCAGACACAATCCCTGGGCCTCCAGGCCTTTGAGGTGAGGTGGGGGGTGGGGAACAGGGGAGCCATTGTTCTCTGATTAGAGCCTGGGTCTCCTCTGAGGCGCAAGATGGGCCTCTTAATATGGGGCCTCACCTGCTCCAAGTCATAGCATTATTATGTCCTCCTCCCCTCAGAGGCCTCCCACCTGCCAACCCGCACAAAAGGCGGTCCTCTCTGTGTGAGGAGGGGGAGGGGGGTCACGTGACTAAGGGTCTTCCCTTGGGGTATAAAGGGCTCATTCACCATCTTGTTCAAAGCTGAGCATCGTTCATCCACCTGCTTCCAAGTGGGACCTTCACGGTAGGCACCCCCTTTCTCCTGATGGGTAGGGAGCCAAAGAGGGCAGGAGTGAGGGAAGGAGGGAGGGAGGGAGGGAAGGTTGGAGGGTTGAAGGAAGGAAGCTACGGATGGCAGAAGAGAGGGAGGGAGGAGGGTGCCTGAGGCCTGGGTGCTAGCTAGTCCGGGATGGACGTATGAGGAGATGCGATGCCAAAGGGACATCACCTGTTCAATGTACCTGGGGGAAAATCCACTACATCACATCAGTGAGGGTCCTGCAAACCTGTGTGAGCCGATGTCTCTCCCTAGGGCACCTCGTATGAAAATACAGTCATCATCAGTTAATGGGCCAGCCTTCCCGAGCACTTACTACATGCCAGGCACTGTGCCCCCTTTAACCCTCATGACACCATGGTGAAGAACCATCATCTGGGCATTTTACTGCCCAGGAAAATGAGTTCCAAATAGCTTTGGTACCTGGCTCAGGGTACTCAGTACGTAAAAGGCCAAGCCCACCCCGGGCCCGTCCGCTAAAAAGCCCTTTTGCTCTTAGGCACTTCCCACACTGCCTCGCAGTCACTCGTCAGGAGACAGCTTGCCCAGCCAGGACCCCAGATAGTGCCTGCAGACCAAGGCAAGGTGCGGGGGCCCTCATTTCCTCAAGGACAGTCAGGCTCACTGTTAGCCCCGGAGGCCTCCTTGGGTCAGTTGAGAGGAGGTGGTCCTTCCTGCAGGTGGACACAGCCCGACAGCCAAGGGCACCTGGCGTGGTCCACAGACGGCTGCTGGATTTCAGCAGCGGCCCGGTGCCCTCCCACCTGGAGACCCTAGTGTGCGTGCCCCGCTGGGCTTGTACCACCATTTCCGGCTGGCACACACACCTCCCTCTCGTGGCGCTCAGCTGGGGATTGTCAACTGCCGCGTCCCACCACACCCCAGCCAGGGGCTGGCCACTTGGAGGGGCCTCCCTAGCAAACGTTACCAAAAATCATGAGAGTTGTACAGTGAATGATGGCTAGGCTGCTTGTTGGGGGTTTAACGCTCAGGATGGCCGTTTCGGGCGGGTACCGTACGTGGCCCGAAGACTTACATCGGACCGGCCGGCCCAGTCTGAGCACTGCGCCCGGGGCTGCCGTGGCCCTACTGGACCTCTCTGAGCCTCAGTTCCCCGCACGGAAAGCGAGAGGTGTGCCAGTGAGAGTCCTGACGAG